CAGCCCTGCCAGGCGGTTCCCGGGGGGGGGGGGGGTAACAAGTCCAGGAATATATTCTTCCCATTCTAAAGACAGCGGAAAAATATATTAATAAATTATTAGGGCCAAAATCGACCTTTTGCCCCCTCCCCAAGGAGGGTAGGGGAGGCCGCCCCTTTTGCCTATTCGCCCTGCACGATGTTCTTAAATCGAGTGTCAACCCTAGTTGGTGTCCAGACAGGCTCTTCATGGGTGCACTAATCAAGCCCATTTCCCATTACTGGCAGAGAAATTCAATTTCTTCCCCTGTGTCCTCTGTCCTTTATCACTGTACTCTTTTCCGAGCCCAGACGTTCGTCAACAAAGAAATTCGTGCACATTTTTTCATTCTCTTTTGTTTTTCCGGCTTTTCTTTTCTCGTCACTAGGACAAGAGGCCAACATGAAGCATGTGGCGCTTTCGGGTTTACTGCTTCCATCAGCAAATATTTTAAATTCCTCGCATGAAACTTCTCACTGCTCACCTATGGATCGTGACAGCCCTGTCCCCTAGCGGAAATAAATGTTTCTCGAGGGTCATTCAAATCGAGCCATGTCAAAGTGTTAGTTTCATCCCTCACGGTTCGATTGCCGTCCAATTTCTCGGTCCTCTCGACTGTCTCTAATCGTTTCTGTCCCTGTAATCAAGCCCGGATTTCGTACTTGTCTCGCAGCAGCAGTACCAATGGATTGCAGAACAGAGCAACGTTGATGCTGAAATCCAGAATGTCTCGTGCAAGTCTTAGAAATGAGTGAGTTTCGTGTGGAGCCTGCCATGAATCCCTCGCATTCTTCAAATGAGCTTTTCCCACTCGGTAATTGGGAAACGTCCTGTCATATCCCACGCGAATGTATGTCTCTTTTTTGATGCTGACGTACTGATAGGCGTCACAACCAGCTATCACGTCAGCAACTTCGCCTGATTCCGAGTATTCTATCATTTTATTGAATTTTTTTGTTTGTTTTGGTGATCATTGGTAGTTCTTCCACAGCCGATCGTGTCCAATGATTTCGACCAAGGATCTGCAACTGAGATTGGTGATCGTCTCGATCTAGCATTTCACTTTTTCCCCCCTCTCATGACATAGTCAGTCCGCATGCCAACATACTTCGGGGTTTTTTCCCTTTGACTGAGGAATTTCCTCTTCCCCTCACAAGAGGGGCTTTACCCTCATGAGAGGGGAATGAATATTGAATGCAGAATGGAATCCCGGTCGAACGCGAGCCTCGAAGGTCTGAGACGATTATGCATTCCACGAAGAGAATGGCCGACACACGTTATGAATGGCTGACACACGTTATGAATGGCATTTCGTAAGCGAGATGACTAAGACCATCCGAGAGAGCGGAGCACGCGAGGTTGCACTTGCCAAAGCCTCATGTTAATCAGATAAGACCCCGGCTTCTCTTCGAGAGGAGAATGGACATGTCAATATGGAGTCAGGCCTCGATAGAGACCTCACGAAACGATTAGAACCTCATCTTCGAGGGAACAAAAGGCGGAATGATGCAAGGTCTTCGTCTTTCCGGCTTTTATGCGGCGCGTCGTGCCAGACGCGAAATTATGCATCTCATCGCCTTCATCGGTCGCCGATTTTTGCCTCTAAATGCGAGCCTCGTTCGAATAATGAGGGCGATTATCGTTTGATGACTTGAAAAGGGGGATTCCGATTCGTTCCTATGTCTCTTTTATGAAGCCGGGCAATCTACATAATAATAATCGTGCGGGTTGACAGGAAGGCGCCATATTTGATGAGCTCTCGGGGAGTCGGTCTTTGTCTTTAAAATGGCCAGAAGCAAGAAGAAAAGAGGAAAAAGACAAGGAAAGAAAAAGTCGAGGATGTCTGCAATCGTGATGAGATGTTTAGCCTTGGATGGAGAGATGCTCGAGGGCATCAACCGATTACCTGGCTCTATCATTATCGGGCCCGAAGATGAGACCCTATTGGCGAGCATTTGCCTCAAATTACAGGAATCGCTGTTGGGTCGGGTGTTTCATTTGAATGCCCAATATGCCCCAGCTGTGCGGGGGTGTCAGTGACAGAGGAATGCCCGAGCCTTATAAATCAAGGCAAAATTATACGGGAACGGCAAAAAAGGAATCTCGTGGAATGCGGAGCATGCTTGCATTTCACAATATTGTTCCTCTCGACTTCATTTCGAGCCCCCCTTTCTTCTCTTCCCGAAGCTACGCCCCTGTTGGTTTGAGGGCGGAAGATTGCTGGGATAGTGTAACGCGATGATGAGGGTGATCTGTTTCCGTTTCATCGACGTAGGTCGTTGAAGAATTCCTCTTCTCGCATCCTCGTCTCATTCGATCGATCCTTTTACGCTGTAAGAGGCAATCCGGACACCGTCAAAGAGTCTTCCAGCGTCGAGGAGTTTCCCACTGCGGAGAGCGTGAAGGCGGATTCATTAGCGATGTGATTATGCGCAGGTCTGAATAATTATGCAAATGATGCGAGTTGCAACTATTACACGCCCCACTTTTCAGATCTCCTTCCATCTGCGTTTGAGTGGATTTATCGAAGAACTGTCCTTCGGATTAATCTCATCGTTGAATTTTCTTTCCATCTGGTAAGCCTTTCACCGAGGATTGCTCAAGGTTCATTCTCGCAATCTTCATCAGCTTTTTTTTCCTGTGGGAGCTGCTTTATCATCCGCGCGTTGAAGTCTCCGGAACTGCACAGCGGAATGCGAAATGAGTCCCCCACCGCGAGGAACGGGATTTAAAAATCTCTCCCCGAAGGTTTAATTTTTTTCCACCAACGATGAAGAGCGGCGGAAAAGCATTGCGCCGATCCCGGATTGTCCTGAATAAATTGCACCATTATTTATTCCATATCTCGCCATAGGTATAGAGGATTCCTCGCTGCGAAGACTCATTACCCAGGCCGTGATGGGTAAATTACATCGGAGCCCGAAATTAGACAGCTGAAAAATTCTTCCGTTTGATTACCTATCTCTCTCTCTCTCTGTTTTGATAGTGGGGTGAATGGAGAGGCAAGGTAGTGAGAAGGAAGGAGGCAGGGGGCCGGCGTCCCTGTGGCGGGGGCCGGCGTCCCCGCTGCGTCCCTGCTGTGACCCTCCCTTTGTCCCACCACCACACACCGACGGGACTCCCCGCCGAACCCAACAGACAGACGACCAAATTACTTCAATTACATCAACAATGATATAAGAAACAGATGAGATCTTCTATCTATGATGCGCCCTCATTTCGCCGCCGCGGCCCCGGCAGGAAGGGAAAAAAAAACCGCCTTGTTTATTAATAGGTTTTCCTTTTATTATCTGCACAATTTCTTTCCGACAACGTCTTACCATGCCTACGGATATCATCTCTCTCTCTCTCTCTCTCTCTCGCTCTCTCGCTCGCTCTCTCTCTCTCTCTCCCTTTCGCTCTTCCATAAATTCTCTTGGTGCTGCCCAAAAAAAACACTTCTTAATTTATACATAAGTTATACAGGATGACATGGAAACCGAGACACCGCCTGTATGATACACAGACATTGAGGACTTGGAAGGAATCACAGACAAAACCATGGAATTCGCGGGTGCGTTGATAACAAGCATTCCCATCACTCGGTCATATGAATCGGGGGAAACAGGTTTCTTAATCCATTTTGGACCCATTTTGACAGAGGTTTGGGGAAGTCGAAGCTAACGGGCAGAAGCAAATAGATCTACACTGAATCCACGACCATCATGTGACTAGAGACAAATACAGAGTTCATCCCGAGGAGATGATGAAAAAAACACAATTTTCCTTTCGGTCACCGGATGATACGGATGTTGATGATGATGATGATGGTGACGATGGAACCTCCCCTCGAGATATGTGTGTGGGACTCCATTGTGGGGGGCCGCAGTCAGACTAGGTTGAGTTCATAAACAACAGGGAGTTCTGATAGTAATTCTGTCGGTTCCCCTCTGCAAAGAGAGAGAGAAAAAAAAATTAGAAATCAAGAAGTTGATTGGAAAGAATTCATTAGGATTCGGCCGAGGTGATAGCCTGTGTCCCTGCAGAGAAATGAGTGAAATATTTCTATGGCAGTTGGGCGAGGCCCTTTGACCTCTGGTGGTCGTGAGAAACTCCCCTCCAGGCACGTTTTCCCTATCTATCTATCTATCCCCCTATCTGTCTGTCTGTGTGTTCTATACGCGCCTTCCCATCTACGGAATCGAGGAACTTCCTCCATGGCCCCATGCGATATTCAGCATAGCATCATTATTCTTTCTCTCTGTCGTGCATCTCGTTTCTCCCCCGGCCGGGGACGAATGTAATAGGCTAATCGATGGAAAAACCGGAGTCAGATGGCTCAGAATCACCAGGTTCGCTCCGAGATCAATCAAGTTCCTAAATTATACGGTAGAGGGAAATTACAGAGTAGGAATAAAGGGGGGGAATAGAGCTTCTGGAACCCTACCTGTTTTGACGGGGGGAGAGGTGGGACTTTTGGGGGGATGCTCCGCCCCCTCACTGCCCCCCTCGCCCCCCTCTTCCACCTTTCCGCCATCCCACTTCAGAACATCTGCAAGATAATCACAACACACCTCATCATACAATACCATTATGATAATGATGATTGTTGGGGTTTCTTTCGTTTTCATAGCGTGACCGAGTGACCGACCTTGAATCTTACGGAGGAGTTCTGGTGGAGCTGAGGTCGTGAGTAGTTCCTCGAGATGTCGCCTTCGTCGCAGTTCTCCTTCCAAGTTTTCTTGCGCACGCCGACGCAGTCGTTTCTCCTTCCGGAGTCGCCTCTGAGTCACGGCTGTCAAGAGGTCAAACAATATTCCCAAGGTTTTAAATCGGGTAATCCAGAAGGAGGACTCCCTTTTGATCGTTTTGTTCTCCGAAATGGAATTGCTCATGTGAGTTGTGGGTCATCATAACAAAGAAAGTTTTTTTTTTTCCCCCGTATTTCTTGGAACCGAAAGAATAAGAAGCGGATGAGTTGTGAGTGAAAGCAGCTGATAATTCCATAGGGCATAATGACGTGGGCTTGGTGTTCGTACCCACGGCAGGAATGAGAATGAAAATCGTTCACTCGTCCGTCAATCTCTCCTTTCCGTGGTCGCAAATGTGATCCCAATCATTTTAACACGAAAATTTAAACCGAGAAGCAGTTGAGTTGCGGGAAGACTTGGGGTTATGGAGCTATGTCGTAGAAAACTCGAGTCTTTTCTGGCGTTATCGTGAGGCAAAGCATGAGGCATAAAACGTGAGACATAAAAGAACTTTCCCATTCCAGAGAACAACGTCATTGAAAGTGAGTATTTTTTTAATCACCCAGGTCATTACTGATTTACGTCTGCTCATACGACTTGGATACATAGAAGACTCGAACATCATAACCTTTGCATATTTGAGGCGTATAAAAACTTCAACGACTCGGCTCTGACACGAGTAACCTAGAACACGGAGAAAATATTGACTAAATAGAAAATGTTTCAAGATTCAGGGGATTGGGAAATGGAAGGGAGTGCCTCTGTAGGCACGGGATTTTCCCGCCTGCCGGTAGATGGCAGCAAACCCCGAGATGGAATTGGGACCTTTTTCGCATTACCCTGTGACATTCAAGCCTTGCTACGTTGAAGGGGAATTCCGTGGGATCTATCGGCAAGAAACGTTCCTACTAATTCCGTACATTCTCAGTCATTACATTAGTTCATTCTTAGCCGATCTTTCGCTCAATCACCGACGCTGTTCGAGGAGCCCATGTTACTCCTCACCTCTTCATATGAGGATGGGGTAAATGATGAGGCCGAACGATGATCGAGGAAGGAACGAGAGAGATCAAGGTCTTTTGGCCAAACCTGCATCCAAGATTACGTCAGACTAAAGGCTTTCTTTTCGTGGCCCAACCTCTCCTCGCTAAATATGAAGATTGGAGCTTTTAAAGACGCCTTTGTGAATCCTGCCTCCTCCGTGCCCCCAAACCACCATGACCAAAGCCCTTCATACGCGTAAAAAACCGGTCCAAAACTGCGTGCTGATGTGAGGGTGGTAAAGAAATACTAGCCTACGTCCTAATCTCCAGCACCAGCGACTGCCTCGGGTTTTTGTTGCTTCGTGCACGTAATCTCTATGGCTTTACCTCATTATAACGCCAAACTGCATGGCATAAGGTCAAGGCAGACACGAAGACTCTGGTCCGGATGTACGAAGTCGCTGTTCAAAGAAACGAGTGACATTGACCCCTCGTGCACCCAACGCTAAACCGGTGAGAAATGGATGCAGGGTTAATTCACTCCAAACAACATACTTCCACGGTTCATCATTTCGCGGGGTAGGGAAAGCAAAATAAAAGACGCGGCACGGCTGGAATGGTGGCTGGTAGTACTCATTCCTCACAGTCTCGCAATGGGTTCATCTGTGACCTCATTTCCGCTGGAGAATACGTCCGACATTAAAGGGGTGAATCTGGTCCGGCCGTGGAGACCAATACCCATGCCAAAAGTCGGCGATCAATTATTGACTGAGGTTTTTTTGAGCAGAGCAGTGCCTCGCTCATCGCTTCCCTAACGACTCCAAAGATCGATGCGGTCCGAGCATTGTGGCTTAGGAGAAGCACGAAGGGGGCATATCATTTTGCGGCTGGACTCCTCAAGAGGCTAGTTAAGCCGTTGCTCTACTGAAGACGCCCATTGTGGGATAAGTTCCGTGACAAGCCGAAAGACATACAAACATTTATATTTTAATCATGTCTAAATTATTACCTCCGTCTTTTCTTTCCAGAGCATGACGGCACTTCTAGATGGAAGGGTGAGTTATCGAGGGAAAAGTGCAAATATCTTTTGTGAAAACATTTCCATTTCAGTCCACGAGTAAAACCGAGTACTCTCTACAGTTGAAAGACTCCCTTGGAACAATTAAAAAATACCTTCCGAATGGGAGACATATCAAACTAGCTTTTGTAGGGTGCGGTCGCCAAGCCAGCGGATGCTCAACAACTGAGCTCAGTCGTCCGTGCGGTGGTGCAATCAGCGAAGCCGATTTTTTTTTCAATTGTCCGAGCGACTCCCAAGATCGTCTAGCACAACCCGATAACGAAAAGTAGTGAAGTGATCGAATGGCAGCGCTGCTGGAACTGATGACCCCCCGAATGCACCCCCGCATTTGGGCTGTCATTCGGCGGCCATTCGGCCTCCACCCAATCGCTGCTCTTTATTCCCGCCCGATTATCGATGGACGCCGGCCGACCGTAGCCCGTAAATCCCGAGTTCTGCTTTTTCGCAACGTTCGAGAGCGCGGCTCCGAAATTTGACGTCCGATGATAGGGGGGTATTCCAACGACAAACTGACTAATGGGAGGTGAGAACCGGAACCCATTCCCTGCTCATGAATAATAATGCTTCCCCCATTCCAGCTACGCCCATGCCATTCTTCCGCTACCCCGTCTCCCTTTCCCTGACGATTTCGATAAAACATACCCTAGATCAAAACAAACGCGCTTCATCGTTTCCGATTGGGGGCGGGAAACCAGATCATGTAAACAAAAAATAAGTAAAACGTTTCCCATAGGTATTTTTTTTCCTGTGCAGTATTGACCGAAGCAAAAAGAAATGATTCTCGCGAGGGAATAAAGCGGAGATGACGGAGTGTTTGAAAGCCGTGCTGCACGCAGTTCATGGTTGCTCCAATCGTCTCACGTTGCAATTCTGCTCTAGGATTTCATGAAACTTTCTTCTTTTTTTTTCTAAATATATGTACGGGTCTTCTTTAAAAAGACGATGCCGCCTGAATCATTTCACGCTAATAAAAAAAAAGTTTTAAGTAGGCGTGGGAACCAGTGATAGCATACAGCCCCGAATGCGACGGTCGGAAGCATTCGCTGTTGGAAGATTTCCTCTCCTCACTCGAGGAATCCCATCATCGTACTTGTCTCTCCTCAGAAATTACTCTGAAAATCATCACTTGATGTTAATGGGATAGAATCCCATTAACATCCCCATCTTTGTAAGTACTATCATCTCGAGTGGAAAGTGACAATATGATCGAACCTTTCAAGCTGTCCGTCCTTCTGTTCCTTGGAACCAAATTTCCTCTGCTTTTCAGCAGGCAGAGTTGCAGCGAGCGAATTTACGAATGCGACTGCAGGTGACTATAAGCGACCAGAGAGGACAGACCAGAGGACAGACCGGAGGACAGACCAGAGGATAGACCACAAGAGGAGATCGTTACAGTACTGTGCTGACAGGTGCATCGACCGGAGGGCAGCATTACTGATTGCTGGTCGTTTTTCGACAGTAACGCAATTAACGTAATCGCAGACGTTCTCGAAGAGCACGCTAACGCGTATTTATACACCTTTTCGCTGAAAGGTTTTATGTTTCAACTCGTCAGCACAGCGCCGCATCAGACCCGAATATCATACAGAAGGTTTCCCACGAGCTCATCTCGCAGAACAATTTCCCTCGAATTCTCCTCCTATTCTCGGCTACAGAGTGAGTGCGTGGGAGATTCCGGATCTCTCTCTTACGTGGATTCTGGCCTAATGTGCCGTGAAGCAACCTTGGCAACGAGGAACTGTCGCTCTCGACGCGCAGATAATTGATTGAAGGGTTTTACGTCAGTTACAACACCGTAATTGCGCGAAATGGCACACTTTCCTTCGTTGTGCTCTTATCGAGGCGGAAAGTTTCCTGCACCCTTCGTCCGAAGAAGAATCCGCTCGTGAGGAATGCAAGGAGTTCCATCACGAATGTTTCCCAGTGTTCGTTCTACACAAATTTGGGTGAAGGAAGAAATTTCAACTATATATGGTAGTCGAGAAATGAAAAAAAAATTCAATAAATGCTTCTGTTACTGTAATGTGAATATAACGCCTCCTTTATAAACTTCAAGGCATTAATGCACATTTATCCACTAGTGGCCTACACCCAAGTTGCAGCCTATTCTATTCGGTTATGTTTTTTTCGCAGCCGACCGGTCCGATTCCCCCCCATGCTGCACTTCCCCCCCATGTTGCACTTCCCCCTCCATATTGCACTTTTCCCCCCACAGATTTCGCTTCTGAGGTCACAGATCCAACGCTAATTAGGCATCGCATCCATCACGTTTTAAACAGCAACAACAAAACGCAACCGTAATCGTTACATCTCGGCGTGCTTTTTGAGCCTGCCGAGATGCATGGGGCATAGAGAGTCGGACTTCCGCGAGGGATTAATCGCAGGGTCTTTTTTCATCGCTAAAAAGGCAGAATCGATTCGTTAGAGCCGTCTATCCATTACGTCACACCGAGCTCCAGAGCTTCATTTACTCGCACAAAGTGGCATCGCATCGCAGCCGACCGAGGATCGAGACACCATTCGTTATGTTGTTCGCATGTTTTTTGCGGAAGCTTAATGCAAAAAAAAAGGCTCGAGGCTTGCGTCCGATCGAGCGATTCGAGGAAACTGCAGCGAGAAAGTGACTCGATGAAACTCTCGTCGATGCGATGGTGCATCTGATGGAACCTACTGAGAAAATCAAAATGAATCGAGAATCGCAGTCCTTCTGCAAACATCATCATTTTGCATCATGTTCCGAGAAGGCTTCCGAAAAGTCTTCCAAGAAGACAACCGAGAAGACTTCCGAGTGATTCATTCATCTTTAGATGCGATTTGCGGACGCAGTTGTGCACGCGATCGACCCGAGAATGAATAAAATCCAGGGAAAATGAATATATTTGATGTAGCCCTCGTACTTGATGTGCCTACGAAGCTCCCTCGCAGAAATATTGGTGTAATTATACTTTAATAAGCATCGTGTCCAGAGTGAAGAAGAATCGGATGCTTGTTTGTTTGCTTTCGCACGTTTCACGAACGAAAGTTTCACTTTTTTTTTAACCCCTGCCTTTCGCCTTTTCGACGCGAAGGGGGAAAAAATATCACGAAGGGCCGAATGTGACCTCTGCTCATTGTAAATTCTGCCGTTGTTACGCCACGAGAGACGTGATTTGCTGAAGGCTGCCAGCGATATAAAAGGAACCCGGCTGTCATCTCTCTTTTCTCCCGAGGAAATTCCATCTACGAGAGAGAGGAAGGCCGGGGTCGGGGGGTCGATCACGAACCGGATCGTTTTTCCCCTCGAAAAGGTCGCCTGCATCATCATCATCGTTGTTTCGCGTCGATTTACATGATACTCATCTGGTCGTTTACGTTTCACCGCCCCGAACCGCTTCCCTAACCGACGGTTATCGCCACGACCGGCCGAGTCGTGGGATATCTCGTGCAGTCCTTCGGGTTGGGGAATTTTTATATCAATATGATATTATAATTACGATAAAAACGCATTACGCGAGACGCAGCCCCAAAACCCACACAATTTTCCAAGAAAATTCCTGCAAATTGCCAGCCCACTCCGAGCAAAAAACCGAATTCGAGTCCCGGACGGAGCTGGAAACCTTGGGAGCAACCCCATCGGCGTGTTCGGAGAGGATCAAAAGAACCGTGAAGCGAGTCGCGCATTGACACGGTGGATGAAAGGGGATCTTTGTTTCCGAGGGTTCAAGACACACACACGGAAGTGCATGAGAGAGAAAAAAAAACACGGAGGCTTTGAAAAAATGCCTGGAAGGCTTGGGGGCAGCCAGATCTCTCTTCGATAGATGAGACACAATATTTCAGAGCAACAATAGTTGATTTAAGCGGCTCGAATCCCCCCCGCTGTCCTCTCCATTATGACAGGAGAAAAAAAAAAGAGATTTTCTTTTCTTCACGAAGTCTCTTCCCTTTGATAGCGGCTATTCTCAAAGGGGGACGGAGGGAGCCAGGATGCCTTCGGGGCATTTTCTCCTTTTTTTTTCTTCCTCGGTAGCGGCAAAGGGGGACTTTTAGAATGCCGCCTCCCTTTTGTTTTAATATTGGCCACATTGTTACCTCGGCGGTGCGAGAGGTAATTGCCAAGGTGAAAAACGCTGATTTCATAGCCCCCCGCGCATTGTTTAGGGCTTGCATTGGTTTCCGATAAACAATTAGGGCGCAATGGGCCGCGAAATCCCGGCCAGATCACGCTAATTTCGAATGCAAGGGAGGTTCCGTCGTGGTCACTGCCTTTTTCCCTCGGCTTCTCCATAATGAGGGAACAGCCCCATATATATAAAGGGGGGAAGAGGAAGAAAAAATATGATTTCGCCATTAGTTTGGAGATCAATACGCGAGGGCTGGACCCAGATGGTTTAAAAATGGCTTTTCTATGGACACATATATAGGGAAAGGATTTTTTTTCTCCTCACCTCGAATCCGCTGCTCCTCGTTGAGTTGCCGTTCCGAGCCCTCTCTCTGTTCTCGTTCCCTCGCCAGCTCCATCTTCAGTTCGGCTGCGGGGAACAACGGGGATTTTATGAACGTTATAAGTACGTCCGTGATTTACGGAGGATTTGGGGCCTTGGATAAGATTGGAAACGAGCTTCCGCCTTTCGCGGTGTCAAACTTGATTTCCAGAACTCTATTGCAACTAAAATGCCCCGAAAAGGTAGCCAACTTATTTTTAAACGATCAGATTGCATCATCGTTTCGAGAAAAAATCCGAAATAGTCATATTAGAGAGCAAAAAGAGACAAAATAAAAACATGGATACGGGAAGCGAAGGGGTGCGCTGGTATTCATGCTTCCCGAAACATAAACCCATCGCTCTTTTCATGCTATACATAAAGAGCCACGAGCATCACGCGGCTTCATTCACACTTTTCAATGGGGTCCACTCGAGTAAATGTCAAGAGAGTTTCTGCCCCTTTTCTCCGGGGATTCGACCTCGTTGCGAAAAAATCCTCGCATAGTCGCGATTCCAAATGTATTGCGGCTGATGCTTTGCATTGCGGCTGATGCTTTGCATTGCGGGATCCTTCGGGGCTCGATTATAAAAGGAGGAGGAGTTCGATGATTGATCGATAATGAGCATTCCGTCGATTAACATAGCTGCATGCTAATAAATCTCGGAAAGGGGGAAAGGCCTCGCCTAACTTCTTCCCTTCCGAACGTTTTTATTGGCTGTAAAGGAGATGAAGGAGTTTGCGGAAAGGGAAAACTTGCCGAGCATGAAAAACGCACTTCGTCGTCAAAGTCCCATCGCATTAAAATCGTATGCAGATGACGCCTGATGGAGTTGGACGCCGTGTAATTTTCATGTAAATCAGGGAATGAAAAGTTGGAATTTTCCATAATGATTACAGTCTGATTCGATTGTTTGCACGGGAGGGAGGAGAAAGGGGAAATAAAAAAGGGAATAACCCAATTCCCCGTTGTTCTTTGAGTTCCATAATGCAAAAACCTTTTGTCGTGCAGCGAGTCAGAAAAAGAGAGGAAAGGCCTGCGAGGTACGAGAACGCATAGAGCACGAGATCCGAGTAAAATGCAGCACTGGATGTGATTGATTCGGAAGAAAGTTGTCTGGGCTGGAAACCGCTTTGCATAATTCCCCGTCAAACACTAATAGAGATGAATGAGGAGTTTCCCTTGCCATGGCTTAATGCGATGAGGGAAGGGAATAAGGAAAAGGGCCTTCCCTTAAAAACCGCCTGGGATCTATCTAAAGGACATTTTGACGCCTTTTCCCCACCCCGTCTCTTTCTCTCTCTCTCTTCGCTTTTCATGTCATTTTCAGTCACTTCTTCAACCCTCTCCCCTGTTTCCCTCTCCCCTGTTTCCCTCTCCCCGTTTCCTTCCCTCGTCGCTTCGGGATCGTGTTAAATTCTCACCTTTTCCTAGTGTTTCTTCTTTTTCCTTTCGGAAATGGAACCGAGCGGTTCGCACGTCTGTCGACGGCGACAATCGACCATGAGAATTTTTCCGACAGCCAGAGTTGGCAATTAATTGACAATTTCTTTTGGGAATGTAGGCAATTTCTCAATCCGCTCGCAAAATGTTTGAATGGAATCGCGTAGGACCTGGAGCATGGAAAAAGGCGACCTGATATGCCGTGTCGGTGTGACAGTAGCGAATGGAAAAACCAGTCGAAGGCATTAAAAAAATATACGAAAGGGCCTATTTGAACATACTGTATAAACAATGTGCAGGGAAAGCGAGAGAATGGAAATTACCCAGGAAAATATGACGGCTCGTGCATTTGTGTACGTTCGGATCCAAATTGAAGACCTTCATTGTTCGTGTAAAGGACAAATGCAAGGACGAAATTCGGTTCGAGCAAGGCAAAATATCTAAACTCGAGTTCTTGCCTCACCCCGAGAATTTTTTTTTTTTTTTTTTGGTCGAGAAAGCTCGGTTTCTCCACGGATTGATCCCCGGAGTGGCCGGGGACAGGGAAATGCAACGAGGAAAAAAGGGGGGAGAAAGAGAGGACACAAAAGCGAGGAAACTCGACCGCAAGAAGAAGATTGATCAATCTTCACTTCATTTTTCTCGCTTCTCTGAGACTTAATGAAAAGCAGGTCTCTCTCTGTGAACATTACATTGATAGATAGATAGCATTCCCAGAACCAGTTAATGGATTGCTTTTCCGATTGATAAATCGCGACCCACACTCCACTGCCCGCCATCATTAATTCCCATCTGAAATCCGAGGAAAATTTCATTTGCAAATTGGGGAAATACCGGATAAAAACCCCCCGTTGGAAGAAAGATGACCTGTGAGATCGTTATTCCTTGTTCCTCTTTTCCCTCTGGTTATTCATGCGATGATGCCGAGATGTCATAATGAGTTTTCCCTCAATTAATTTAAAACTTTGGATCGTTCCTACGATGCAGGAACTTCTACGAGGAAAAGATGCAGAGAGAAATGAGATTCCGATTTCTATGTTCATTTTTAGTTCGCAGGAAGTTCACGGGAATCGACAGAAGGTAATTTGGGTGCAAAAAAAAAAAAGAAAACTTCGAGCAGCAAGAATTTCTGTCTGCAGCGGGAAATCGCGGCAGTCGCAAAAAAAAATTTAATCAGGGTTTCAGCGGAGAACACGGTTGAATGAAATCTTTCTTTCCTGATGAACCCCATGTTAATAATTACGAGGAGAAATGGAACTGAAATCCTGTTATACGGGATGCATCCGACGAGGGGGAAAAAAAAAGAGACAGTGAATTCCACGCCAAAGAGGAATATTAAGGAGAAGCTTTCTCATTCTCCCCGTGCGCCTGTCATGCCGGGGTGATTTATTTCCAAATAATTACCCCGGGAAAGATTCTGCTCTCCCTCGATTCAATGCCATCGATTTTTCTCATAGAGCGAAGCAAAAAAAAAAAAAACGCACGGAGATATCTATCCCGTGGACTTTTTCCTGCATGCAATATAACCCGACTCTGGAGAGGAGAAAATCTCCCTTTTCAAAAGAAAAGGCCGGTCGAGATTTGAAATTAAAATTCTGCATAGAGGGGAAAGGGATACTCTCTAAGCGTCACGAATAATATTAATGGTCATTCAAATTCTCCCCTCCCTTATCAATCATATGGGCTTTCAAAGTCTGAATTCAGCCGAGCCCTGGCTTCCATTGATTCCCCTCAAGAGATGCGAATCCAATCGCTCCTTTTTTTTTTGTTCTCCATCGTCCATCAGGTTTTTTTTTTATTCCCCTTCTTTCCTCCGGAATCGAACAGAGAGAGTTAACTTTTCCTCCCCTCGGAAACCAATCCTAATTACGTCTCCAACTCCTCTTCCCCCCTTTCGCTTCTGAGGTCACAGATCCAACGCTAATTAGGCATCGCATCCATCACGTTTNTTTTTTTTCCCCCCCCCCCCCCCCCCCCCTCTCTTTCCCCGCACACAAATGAAAATCTTGTCCAGAAAACTGAGTTACGTTTCCGCTTCTGCAGTGGATCGAGGTCATTTCCATTCGAGGTGTTGGGACCTGGTACCAGAAGGTGAGTTTCGTTCGCGGTGAATCCTGCGTGATTTTACTCGTGTCACTTTTCGGTACTTCGCCACGTTCGCTGCCTTCATGCGACCGCGGCAGAAGTCCATAAAATTCCAATCAGAGGGCCCCTCGTGGCTACCATCGAAGTTTTTCTCCAGATTTTTGGATACCGAACGTTCTGGAATCCCAGAGGGATTTTTCGAGAAGCATGTCAGCCTTCAGATAATACCGTGATCGAAGGCGGCATTTCCTGATGCCTCGAAGCAGGGTGTGGCCCAATTATTCCTTCGCCCAAGCGACGCACTGAGTCAATACCTCGGGGTGAGGTGAAGTACGTGCCACCCTCCGGTAGCAAAGACAGATGATATACCTTCAGAAAATTCGTAACATAAGTTGATACGAATCTCTGTTAATGCGTGTAAACGTTGTAGAAGCACCATGTGGATACATGGGTACCACATGTTAATGGCGGTACTGTATCTTGTTGAACACGGGATGCCTAGTACATCATGTGATGTGTCACATGATGTCACATGACTCATGAAACACGATGTTATATTGTGCAACATTTATGCCTTTTAACGCAGGTGTTGGCACAGGCTAATTCATGTTGCATATTGTAAGGATAAAACGATCGACAGACACTCCGCTTGCAAAAAAAAAAGGTAGCAAAAAAAAAAACCGCAATTGACTGCATCGGCCTCTCGACCTCTCGCTGAAAAGATTTTTTCGCCAACTTTTGCTTTTTTTATTTTGTAAGATGAAAAAAAAGTTTGATTTTTTTCCCCTTGCAGTAGAAAGAAAGCCCTGTCTCTGTCGGACGCTTTCTCGAGTGGTTGTATCTCCTTATAGGTGTGACAAATCGCTGCCACCTGGGCGGTGCTTTCGATGATTCAGGAGACTGACGACCCTCATAAATCCTTCCAATGATGGAGATCCTTCGTAAAGTACTAAATAGCGTACTAATTTAAATGTACTTTCCTGGCTTCCGTCCGGGCCAGGCAAATTTCACCTTCGTCCCCCGAATCATCGAAAAAAAAAACCCTGGCATTTAAATTTCTGGTTTCTGCGAGGAAAAGCGTGGCAACGCAAGACCGCGTCCAAGAGCGACGCCGATCTTCCTCTCGCTCTCGGTTTGGCCAGTCAAGGAGAGGAAAATATTATTTTTCACCCTATATACACACATGGAGAAAGTGGATGGGGATTTTCATCCTCGGTCTGATTGGCACCATGTGAAGAGAACGAGGGATAGGAACCGATCGCACATCTGTGCCGATATCGCTCTCTGCAGACCGATGAGTCGAAATCGACTCAACGTGTTCAAAGTGCTCCTATCCTATTAGCTCCATTTCAGCCGTTCATCGTTTCAGTTTCATCCTTCTCTGGACTTTATTTTTATTTTTTTAACTCTTTATAACCAATTTAAATGCGCTTGAGACTTTGATATTCGACTCGAGGTGTCGTGTCGCCGGACATTTTGACTCGATTGCAGATTCGCCCGTTTTTCTTTGTCTGCTGGTTAAGCGGACTGGTTAACTGGCTTCACTTGCCTTTGAGAAAGTGACTTTGCACCCGGAACGCAATTTCGGGAGTGCGTGCCAACCTTCCGTGAGCCATACGCGTCAGCCGTGTCGGATTGATTCCGTGCGTTTTCGAATTGAATTCGCACATTCTCGAATCGACTCCACGAATTTCCGAAGTCCGAGTTTTAAATAATCGACTCCGCAAGCATTCGCGAATCGATTTCGTGCCCCAGATTCTCGAAGAGGATCGCCTACCTTTCTCCAGCTGGACCTGTCTATCGGTCTGTCTGGCCGACTCGGCCGCGACTCGAAGGAGACCTTCGATGTTCCTCAGCAGGGTCTCCGTCGACGACAATTGGTGGACAGAGCCGAGGAAAGAGGAGTAGAGCTGTTCGGGGGTGATGCCGCCCGTCTCGCCGCTCTTTCCAGCCCCACCTACGAGAAGGGAAAGAAAAGAAGAAGAAAAAAAGAGCGAGAAGACAAGATAGATTAAAATAATGATCTTTTATGACTAAGCAGAATCTGGGAACAAAGCGCCGCGGCGCGTAGACAGCTGGCAGCAGAACCTTTTTTTTTTCGGTCCATCCAGCTGCATTGCGGATAATGCGGAGAAGGGGGACCGAATGGAGAGAAAATTTGACTCTTACCTGTAGGTAAGCCTTTGTGTTCTTCGAATTCGGTTTCGGAGTAATCCTCGTCTTCCTCCTCTTCTTCTTCTTCTTGTTCCCCGTCTCCGTCGCTGGCACTCTCCCCCCCTTTCTTCGAGAGGTTCAACACTGGGCTGTTCACCCCGTTCGCTGGAAAGTTTCCAAAAAAAAATCCTCCGTCTGAACAGGAAATAAATAGAATGAGTTCGGAATTCCGACCGTTGAACAATCCAAATCGCTAAATTTTGTTTTAAAAATCCTTGACATCTGAACGTTTTAAAAGCATCAAAATTTTCAATCGTCCAATTCGCTAAATCCTGGTTGCGAAATGTTCATTTTGTGTCGCTAGTGGCCGACCTTTGTTGAAATAATTGCCAATTTCATGCCGTCTCGCTTACGCGTTTCCAAAACCTTCGTGTCATCCTGATTTAACTGAATATTTTGCATTTCTAGTTTCATTAAGCCTCATGCGTGCAGCATGAGCCCAATCTCTTCGAACACAATGACTCTGCGAGTTTTCTCCCTGCACACATCTGTCTGGGTCAGATGCGATCGATATCCGGCAATTAAGCCCTGTCATTACGGATGCAAACGACAGAGATCCCTCCGCCCGACAAGGGGGAAACGAAGTTTCCCTCTCCCCGCGAAATCCGCTGGCATCGCGATCGTTTCCCCTCTTCGGTCTCGATTGAGGCTGCCGGAATGAGTCGCTTTATTTTCTCCTTTGACGAGATTAGATTCCCAGAAAGTTATATATATATTACCATGTTTATCTATGTAGATCGATGCATGTGTGTTCCGATGGAAATGCTCGTCGGTGCAAAAATATGTTGGATTTCTTTAATTTTTAGTAAGGTAAAGAATTGCATAAAATCAATGAAATTAGATAAAGAAGTGAAATAAAATAAAATAAATACAGAAAAATATAACGAAATAAGATAGCTGCTTTAAAAAAAAAAGAAACATATAGGAGATAATGAAATTATATAATTACTATAATATTATCTGCCCGGAGTTTTTGGCCCGGCCCCCTAATATCATTATGGAAAAGGTAGCTCGATGATTATCACGAAGCTGGAAATGTTTCACACACACACACGTACACACACACATATATGGAGTCAGCAGGTCTCTCTTATTCTCGCAGCTGGAAGGCGCCATTAGTCCCCTAATCATCCGGGATTGTCCTAATGATGCAGGAATCATGGGAACGGAAATTTATCATGCCTGCTTCGTGAAAGCCTATAATTTTAAAGCAGGAGAGAGGAAAAAACGACGACGACGACGAATGGAAGCGACGAAAATCCGGCCCAGTCGGAACGAGGGAAAAAAGCCGCATGCGTACACAATGGAGCGAATGGAGGGGTATTATTATTATGGGATTGATATGGGCATTGCAGGGAGGGGCTGACTCATACATACGGTATATTACGACGACTATCTCCATGATTGTATTCTCGGGATAACTCGCCCACGCGGCATTCCAGCGACTGACCCTCATTCTCTTCCACCATCCTCGTTTTACCTCCTCCACCGCTTTATGCTTGAGCGGGCGAGGAAGGTCGTGCTCGGGGACCGATACCGGGAAACGATTTTGCTTCGTGGAGAGACGAGAAGGCTCTCTCTTCCTGGGTCGTACTCCGACGAGAAAATTCGGTAATGATACGAAGGAACTTCAGTAGAAGGTCCAGCTGGACTCCTGGCGTCGCTATGTAGATTAGCTTTTCTTCTCGTAACACACTCGTGACACCGCAGGGCGGCGCTTATTCCTCCATAGGGAAAAACGTTGTTCGGTTGCTATGCACAACTTCAGCTCGGCCATGAATCCTTTTGCAAGGATTACTTCGTTTCAAATTAAGTGGGGTATTTATCGGTCATAGCAGATAAATAGTCTCTTAGGCCTCATCGGCACCAGGAAGTATTCTCTGCCACTTTTCTTAGCAAGTCGACTTTTTCGACTTGCAGTCGACGAATACATTTTTTTATGTGAGGACGTCTTCGAAAGTTATAAGTGCAAGGTATTTTTAATGCCGTGGAATAAATCCTTGTGAGGTTCCTTTTTTGAAAATATTATTTTGCAGCATGCTTACGTTTTCTTTGCAAGGAACACATATCGTGCGGACGAGCACCGATACCACAAAACTCCATAACTTTCAAAATCTCCAGTCCAGAACGTCATGGAACTTAGTAACCATCAGGCAGCGCTAGGAAGCCACTATTCAGCGCTAGGAAGCCACTATTCAAGCCGCTATTCTGAAATAAGTATTTCGCGAACAGACCTCCAAAACCAGACACTACTACCACGTCGCGGACGCATTGCAACCGAACTATTCACCTACTGATGGGAACTATTCACCTACTGATGAAGCAGATGGATGCGCGGGTGAACGTGCGATGAATAGAAACCGGGACAATAACGTGTCAAAGTTTCTTTATTCAGTTCATTACTCAACATGGAATGGCTGTAATATTACGAGTGGGCTTGGCACCCACACCGAGATAAAATCAACATATCTGTCTGAAGTGCATTGTTTCGCTGGTAGCGGATTACCTCACAGGAATGCGGTTTTACGAGTGGTCCATCTGCAAACGTTTTTTCCTCGTTGCATGCCGTTTCAACTATGCCATCGTGTGGTTGAACTAGTATTTAATTATAGTGAGGGAGGGGGGAAATCCTGACGTGAGACAATTTGTGAGCTTCCCCAAAAGAAAGAAAACACTCATGTAAGCAGATAATTTTTGCAGTTGCGAAACCGACTGTAATGCGTATTGCCAGTTACAAGGTTGTATGTGTGGGCAGAGGACAGCAAAGCGAACGGTTTCCATCAAACTATGATCCCCAGAACAGGGCAGGGGTGCATCCATAAAATCCTCAAGAGATCTATGGAAGCCGAAACCAGGCGGGATTTTCTCGGATTTCCCCAATTTTAGTTTCCCTCAAAATACCGGATGGCGCAAAAAGTGTTTTGTTTGAGGCTTTATAAAATTACTGTAGGTTTGTCTATTATTTCGTATCATTAAGAAAAAACTCTTAACCTTATAGCTATCGTTCTGTGTTCAAAGGACCCAATACAAAATGTAGCCATTTGTGTAGGCTGCGCAGTAAACTTGTTAATCCCGACACTCGGTATATTTTTATGAAGACATGTGATAGTAATTAGGCAATGTATTTTGAAGAGATTCTTTGGGAATGAAGATATGAAACAAAGAGCTTAACATATGACTATCCGCATTCTGGTAGTTACAGGGTTAAATTTGTTTCATGAAAACTTTGAAGTCTCGAGGCTGTTCGAGTAAAGAGTCGTAGAAACTTCGATAAGAAAATTCGGCTTTCCCACTATGGGAATTGCCGCTTTCGGCAGTGCTCCACAGACGTGTCTCACTTATCGCCAAAAAGCCGCTTCTCCTGGCTGCATTCTTATTGCAATGTTCTCGACTGTGCAATGCCATCACATCGTATCATTCAAAGGAAAATTCCCTGCGTGAAAGGGGTGTGATTGGCCGGAGAGAGAAGAGATTTCACGGAACCGAGTCCATGATTTAATACGGAACTTATACTATTCTCTTCCCCCTCCAGTCCTTACACACTAAAAACATAATGAAATTCAAGCCCCGCCTTCTCACCTGGAGCCCAAAGACGCTACTCGATCAAGAACACTATGACGAGAACGCAGCATAGAAAACGGCTTTCTTGGCGCTAAATAAAGAGAAATCTTTTGAGCAATGCCGAGACTGCATCCACCCGAAGCGTGAAAAAAATTTAAATTTACGACTGCATCTCGAATGACCGCCGCTTTTTATCCGGACGACCTGCGTTGAAAACGTCGTGATGGGTTTCGTGGGTCCCTTCCACGGCTTTCCTTTCATCCTTGAAGTCTTTTCGAAGCTCGTCGGAACTGGCTTTTGCTGTTTTCGTTGATTACTTCATTAAAGGGTAGTGTGAGAGTTCAGCTGCATTCGAGAGAATTCAACTCTGGCAGCCACTGCTTTAAAAAAAATTGTAACTTGTAGTTTCTTGAATTGCAGTTGCTTGGAAGGTGGCCGTAACGAGACTCAAGCTACGTTTTTTCACGCAGTAACTTAGTGCAACTCGACAGGGATCAAATTGCAAGTGAACTTGGTTGCATTTCAAGAGTGACTTGGGTCCACCCGAGACTGCATCTTGGTCGGCACAAGCTGCAAAACCTTTGGGCACCAGCTTAAAAAAATTTCAAGTTGTCGCTTGACGGATGTTTCCCTCTATGTATGAAATCTGAACAACATTCACGCATATTAATCCTATAGGTGAGATCTTACACGAAGCGTTGAAATAATCAATCAGAAAATATGCAGTGACCCAAACGAGACGCGGAATATTTCAGTGTCGAGTTTCTTGGCGTTTCGTTTCTGGATTTCAAATTTATTCCGTAATCATCCCGCGAAAGCCATTCGAATTTCTCATCGATGCATTTGCAGCGAAAACAGTGCGTTTCTCTCATTCTCGTGGGGATCCCGTCGTCTCATCTGCGGCAAGCCCTGAGCCTGCATATTTGCATGAAATTTACTCCGAAATCCTTCGTACCTCCGACCGGTTTAATGTCGAGTCCTCTGCAGGAATAAATTCCTCTCTCTTGCTTCTTTTAGGCCTTTCCCTCAGACCAGGATCAGACCGGAGCATAATGGGATCCCGGCTGCCGGCTAGAAATCCGGCCCTGCCGTAGCCCCAGGAAAATGCTAAAAGGGGCAAGTGGGAGGAATTTATTCCCGCAGTGGACCGTAGAGACCGTGGCATGCCCATGGCAATAGCTGTTTCTGACACCTTCCAGCAATCGGTGGAAAGCAATTGTTTTCCTTCTGGAACCCTCGACGGGATTCCTTCGTTTTCTGTTTGCACCTGGTGCAAACGGGTAATAAAACGGATTCCACCGATCGTGTCAAAAGGCAACGGGAAAACTATTTGCACTTGGGCCTTGTTTAGATTATTTTTAACGCATTTCCACGCCATAAAATGCTAACGTAAATGTAAACTTTAATCGCTTTCATAATATTTGACTTCGTATCCTCGAACTCATATCTCTAACCCTTAACATATGTTCAAGGATTTTCTGGGGTGCCCTTCCTCATTTTTCACCCATCCCCTTCCTCGGGGTTATTTTCAATCCCGGTATTTCTCACGTGATTTTATTGACGAGCATCGATTACGTCTTTGCCCTTCTAATCTTTGACCTTGACCTTGTCTACATTGGAATCGATGGGCATGACCCTCTCAAATTTATCTCTCACCACGATGACGGTAAGTCAGGGAGTCGGAATGCGAGAAATGAGCGAAAATAAAGAGAGAATCGTTCACAGTGTAATTTGAGAGGGGGGGAGGGGGAGGGGAAGGAGGAGGGGGGGAGGGGGGGGGGGGGGCGAGGGGGGGGGGGGGGGGGGGAGGGGGGGGGGAGATTATAGGTAATAATACAGGAGAGCCAGGTCTGGGAGGTGATAGATTGTTAGCAAATGGTCAGTTAAAAAAGGTAATAGGCTCGTTTTTTACTTCAAATCCAAATGCTGTAAAGGCTGTTCAATCTGGTGCAATTGAGGCCGAACTTTTGCCACAAGGCACTTTGGCAGAAGCTATTCGTGCGGGTGGGGCAGGAATTGGTGGTTTTTATACTCCAACTTCGGCTGGAACAAAAATAGCTGAAGGTAGAGAAACCAAAGTCATTAATGGTGTAGAACAAGTTTTTATAAAAGGCATTAGGGGCAATGTGGCTTTCATTCGTGCTTGGCGAGCTGATACTGCAGGAAATTTGCAATACCGTTTGACAGAGAATAATTTCAACAAAGCCATGGCCACTGCTGCCGATTTGGTAATTGCCGAAGTTGAACTCGGGAGATTTTTCTCTCGGAGGGGAGTCCGAAGGAGGAGAGGCGAAAACGGCGGAGCATCATCATGCATGATGCGAGTTTTCTTTCCGCAGATTTTTTCCCACGCCCCTGCCGCATTAATTAACCCTTACAAAAAGAGGCGGCGGTTCCAAATCCAATGAGAATCCTTCTTTCCTCTCTAAAATTGAGGAAGCGAACCCACTTTCCATTTCGTCACAGACCGCGAGTAAAGGCAGAAGAATGAAGAAGAGGGTGTATCGAAGGACATATCGCGGAGGGGGAAAAAAAAAGGAAGGACCCTCCTTGAAGACGTCATAGAGATAGGATAGAGGGGCATCACCATAATGCATGAAGCTTAATCGACAGATCGAGAAGAAGAAAGAGGAGGGGGAACCAATCCAAAGCAGACTTTTCCCTCTTTCTGGTCGATATACATACGGTTAGTGCAGGCATAATGGTGCCTCTAATGTCTTTCCGTGCACCTCTTTTTCCCCCCATTGCGTGCAAATCTTTTCTGCCCTCCGCGGATCGGAGGGAACCGGCGAGCCGACAAAAAATCTCTTCAATCCGTTTCGAACGAAGACGGACGGGATCGATGCGGCCCTGATTAGGCACCGCAATTAGAGAGAATCTCTCTCTCTCTCTCTCGCGGAGGAAATTTATTCATAAATCCGCGTGGGGCTCTATTATTAAATTGAAAATTCATGCCGGGGAAGAGAGAGACGCTGCACAGCAATCAGGGCTTAAGATAGAGAGAGATAGAGTTTTATCGGCTGTCTCCGAACCGGTATAGGATGATTAATGTCTCCCTGGAAACCTGGTCTCCCCAGCTCATCCATCTTGTTTTAAAAAGCCCAGTCTTCTTCTCCTTAGTCTTCCTGCATTGCATATATGTGGAACAGAGAGACTTCCTTCTCGTTTGCGGGGAAACAAATACAAGAAGGGGAAATCAGAAGCTGCAGCTGGGGGAAGCCGAGGCAATTTTCAAATATTGCTTTTCCTGTTGACACTTCTCCATGATAAATGGGCTCCTTTAATCACTTTTCGACAAATCTTCTTCGCACTGCATGTTGTTTCCAGCTTCTCTTCTCCGTCTAATTGCCTTCCCGGCAGCAGCTCCCCGTGCAGCCGTAAATTAAATAATTAATATGGATTCAAGAAATTACCTCGACCCAATTAAAATCGGGGATTTCAATTACGGCCGGAAAGACAAATCCCCATAGGATTCTCCCGGGTAATCCCTTTGAGAAGGAAGGCATGAAAGGAAGGGGGAAAAAAAAGAAAGTTGCATGAAACAAAAGGGAATGAGGGGAGATGAAAGAAACAGGGGGAAGAAAAAAAAAAAGGAAACTTTTTTTTTTTAAGAAGGATATCTCAAAGCAGAGCAGCGTGAAACCACAAGAGGGGATAAGGAACAATTCAAATAATACACCCAGCTCCCCATATCCGTTCTTGACGGTTTTTCAAGGGCGAGATTCTCCTTCATTCCCTCCTCGATTTGTCTTCATATCCATGGTCGTAAAAGAAAAATGCCAGGGGCGTTCCAGGATGCATCAGACTATAGGTCTTTTGTAATTCAAACAGCCCGCTCGTTTTGCACTAGGGGTATGTGCACATGCATGATGTCCAAGGACGAAGCCATCTGCTTTTTATGCGGAGCAGCCAGGCTTCTCGTCCTTGTCGTAATCTTCATAAATTTATTTTTTTTTCATGCTAATTTCGCATTTTTCCCTCCAAATCATGTGCTTGAAAGTGGAATCGAAGAGCGATTCCAAATTGGGAGCGGGGAGAACAGGTTTCGTTCTATGGAAATTTGCTTCTCGGTCGGCTTCGTCGATTCCCAACACAAAATCTCGCGGCTTGAATAAAATTTTCGGAACTCGACTCACTTGAGGGAGCCGAAAGGGTGGTACGGCCGAGCGACAGCGGCAGCGGCAGCGGCAGCCGCCAGGTGCTGACTGGACACCGAGACCGGGAAGCCAGCGGCTCCCGACGACGACATCATCACGCTCCTCACGTCGGCGGGGGAGCCATGGTGGGCCCCCGGATGGGGGTTGAACCCGGCGCTCAGCAGCTGCATGGCGCTCAGGTGAGTCGGAGGCTGGTTGTACCCGTTTGCCAACAGTGGGCTCTTTTCTGTGGGGGGAAACGGGTTCTCGTTGGTTAGGGGTCTGAAAGTGCTCGATTCGTGCAATAAACAACTTTTTTCTTGGTTTTCTTATGGATATCGAGGTGAAACTGAAAGAATTAAGAACAGTTTTGGATTTCTGGAAGCATGGCCGACACGAGTGCGAAGGGGGAGCACATCGAGCGAGTTTTACAGCCAACGCAGGCTTGCAGAGTACGGTTGAAGACCCGTGGACAACATACGTGATGCGTGCTCATCAGAATTAAAGGGTGCAGCGTGGGAACTTCGAGGCTTTGTATGCATTCGTCAAAAAAAAATTCCGTGGGAATTCGGAATGGCGTCATGGATAGATATTTCCGAGGCTTCGAGCCTTTATCTTACTCCTTTAGTTGTACAAACGCGAGCAAAATCGAAGACCACGTTCGACTGTAAACCTTCGAGCAGAGCCTTTGCGTTGGCACCGTCGCAAATGGATCTGCGAATCGGTTTTTCGTGCTCGAGGACACGTCGCCTTGAAAATTGTTAAGGTGTTTATCTGTGACGTCATTCATAATCTCCTTTACGAATGCGAGGCCTTAATTTTGAGCTGCAAAAAAATAATCAGGAATTCGTGCTACATTTCACTTTAAGATCCAAAAATTCTGCATAAAAAGAGAACAATGAAGGTGTCTCAGATTCGGCAGACCCGACTGCCATCCTTCGCGAAGAAAGACGGCAGGCCAACTTTCCATCGCATTTTCGCGAATTGCGGAAAAGCCTCGAGTCGACCATAATTCAGATCCAAGGAATAGCACGAATACTTGCCAAAGAAAATTTAAATATCCAATTCGATTCCGAGAGTATAACTTCTCCCTCCCCCTTTTTCACCGAGAACAAAAGGAAACGATGCCGTACCTTGAAGATGCCCATTCTCGTAGGTGGGAAAGTCCGTGCCGTTCGCGAGGCGGGCCTTCTTCAGGCGGAGGTACTCGTGGGCGGCGGCGGCGGCGGCGGCGGCCCCGGCGGGGAAGCCCTGCAGGGCGTGGAGGGGCGAGGGGAGCCCGAAGCTTCCCACCGGTGAGCCGAGCATCGATGCCCGCTTGGGGGGCCTCCCGGGCCTGGAACTGACAGGGACATTTTCAATCTTTCTGAGTCGTTTTCATGTTTTTTTTTTCTCTCAAAAATTTAATTTAAAAAATGCGAGAAATTTTATTATTTTTGTTGAACGTGTTTATTTCTGTTTTCCACTTTTATAAACAGTCTTTTGATTTTCGTATTAAATTTGCCTCGACGTGTAAGCTATCCCGTTTTTATTTCCGCGCTGTCAATATTCCCCATTTTTTCGATAATCTTTTCAATTTCCCAACTTTTACATTTTGTCTGCGACGCGACGTCATGCAGAGGGTCGGAGCCGATTTTTTACGCGGCCACAAAATCGGCTTTATTACGACGACAAACACACGCAGAGAGACGGAGCATCGGAGCCGTGTCAATAGGATTTGGCACTGCAAACAAGGCATAAAACGCGGGCACCGGGGGGAAGGGAAATTTTCTCCCGCAAGATAATTATTGGCGCGATGCCTCGGCTCTCGTTTGGAATTCAATTTTGCCGCCTTTAATAAAGAGGGCAGGTGTAATAAGGCCCATGTAAATGAGTGGGCTTTCGCACAAAGACAGCTCAAAGTCTGATCTCATTACGCGCGAGCGAGAAGGGGAAGAAGAGCGAGCGAGAAAACAGGGAACGGGTGACAGGGCACAGATACAATTAGTGACACCGAGATAAATAATAAAAAAAAATAAATAATAAATACACATCTATCTCTGGAACTCCTTTTGCTTACATAGGAGGCGCGGAAAGAAGCGAAGATCCCTTTCCCCCTTTTTCCTGGCTTCCATCCATATACACACATCCAGACATTCATTGACACGGGGACCCCGAGGTTACTTCAAAGGAAACAAAGTCGTTCGTATCATCACCCCCCCCCCCCCCCCCCCCCCCCCCCCCTTTTCAAAAGCGAGTATTGATTAATGTCTTTGATATCTGTGAAAGAATCATCTCTGAGGGGGACAATGGATATCATCTTTCATTTTCCCTTTGCATCTTTTTGCGGGGGGGATTTCATAGATCTATGTATAAAGGGGATGAAGGCTGGAAATCTATAATAGCATCATTGAGTCCTGTTTCATTAATTTCGCTTCTCCTTTGCATGCCTCTTTGAAAAGATTCTTCTTCTTCTTTTCTCTTCTTCCTCTGCAGCTCAGGGCACAAAAGAAATTAATAATTTATTCCTCATCGCTTTTCCTTTCCCCCCTTTTTTTCTCCCCCCTCCCCCTCC